GAGCTAAAGAGGCCCACAGAAATCCACAAAGATACCCCCACAAAAGACTGCTGGCAATGGTCGAGAGACAGCCGGGACTGACCTACTCTGGTGATGGGATGGTCAAACACCCTAATAGTTGTGCCATAAACCCCATCCAAGGACTGAGGAATCTAGATGCAGACATCCACGGCTAGGCCCCGGGTGGAGCCCTGGGAGTCTAATTTGTGAGAACATTTGCTGAAGGAACTCATTGGTTATATACAGTTGTGAACATATATATCCATGTATATACATGTACTAATAATAATTAAAGAAGAGATCATTAATGTGGGAGGAGGAAGGAGGAGCTGAAAGGAAGAAGTTGGGAGGGAGAGTGATGTAGATCCAGTACCCATGTGATGAATTCTCAAATATATATATATATATATCAAGATTTGGTTTAGGTGCCAACATACTAGATAGACTGCCTTCTCTGAGTCCACTCCCTCAGTAAAACAGAAATATTTTCACTACATGAAATTATTAATAAAGACTAAATGGCAGACATGAAGCTGCTTTGTACATAATAATCAATAGGCAAAGGTATTACTAGGAGAATGCAATTTTCAAAACCATGTTTTGTTCTCAGTCTTCAGTGTTTGTAGCCACTTGATGCTGTCAAATAGGATCCCGTTGCGTAGCTGAAGCACATTTTATTTTTTGTTTGCTCACTGATGAACAGTGGGTTCTTTCCATTCCCGGCAGTGACGGAGGTAATGATGGTGCACAGAGTTCACCCTGAAACTCCAGGTTTTTACAGGTGCGGATGTGGAGTCTCTTGACAAGTTTGTACTATCAGGTGTGCAGAGAAGGGAAGTGTGACCTGGAAGCATTTCCCATGAGCCCACCCAGCTGATTTGCAGCCTTGGTGTGACAGCAGTTCCTTCTACACAACTGAGAAAGTGTTCTGTCCTCATTTCCTCCCCCCTTAAATCTGTTTTCCTGTTCTGAAAGAGATTTCCCAGTGATGGACACGTCAATACACTTTTGCATTTCTGCCTTTGAGAAAGAATGTCTGAACTGATTGCACTACACTTTAAAGGTGGTGAAGGGTAGGAGATTCCTTGGAGATAGGAAATGGCATGTACCATCATCTCATAAAGACCTACAAAAATAACAGCTAACTAGGGTTGGCACTGCTTATTGGGAAATATCCCTCTGACCTTTTAATTTAACCATTTGTGACTCTTTGCAGAGACAAATAAGCCTTTATTTTCAGCTTTGTGTAGTATAACAATTTAAAATGATGAGTAAAAAGAACACATAGTCCAGAGACTATGCACTGTGTGAGTTCAGACCCCTAGGACCACCATAAAAAGCCAAGTGTAGTCACATGCTTCTGTAAATGTCCCTTCCCTCCCCAATGTGGGGTGAAGACAGGATGGTCACTGAAGTTTTGGGCCTCCAGCTTAGCTGCACATTCATTGAAACTGACGTTTATAGGAATAAGGTAGAGAGGGATAAATTAAAACACTCAAAGCCATGTCTTTTTTAAGAAAGATCAAAAATATAGAATCATACATACCTATTAACATATAGAAAGTATGTAGATAAATAATATGGCTATATAGGAATATATAGTGATATTAGATGCCTATGCACTATGTTTATGTGCCTGTGTGTTTGTATGTCTGTATGTGTGTGTTGTTTTGCAGTATTTTACTAACATAATGTGTTTATTCTCTTATTATTGGGCTGATTTTTAGGCACTTTTTAAGTAGTGCTACTCTAAACATGCCTGTGTCCATGACTGTTGCTTTTTAATAGTGCTGTGGGGATGCTGGGTATCTGTATGTGTTATTAGTGTCATGCTAGCTGCATCTTACACTGTCAATTGCTATAATCAAACCTTCTTGTCCCAGGAGTCATCACTTGCCCTTTTATCAGACAGGCTCTATTTCAAACGAAGTTGCCATTGAAGTATACACCCTATTATATCACCTTATCATTATTTCTGGCCACATAATGTGCAAATCGGCTTTAGACACAGGGATTCTCCATGACAAAATCAGTGAGATGCTGAGTAGCATAACAAATGTGGGAAATAGAATGTCTCTGGTGAAGTCAGGTGAACTACAAAGGTCAGTAGTTTAGCCTAAACATCTAAGACAAACTCATACCACTAATTGTGTGACGAGGTTATCAGTTACTGAAAATAGCTACGTTTTCTCTAAGGTTTATAATCTTGCATCTAGAATATTATCAAATTTGCCTCCAGTAAACTGTGTCAGATCAGACAACCACCAACGGGTGTGCAGGGAATCAGAATGTGTCATAGAACACAGGTTAGGTCCATTACTTCTTTCTTCTTCTAAAGAACTTTCATTCAGTAACCGTCAATAGGCATGTCAACTTTTGTCTGAGGTCTGCTTCCTTTTACTTCCTAGTGAGAGATGAACTAGCGTCACTTCACTGAATCACAGACACTACCTTCAGCAGCTTCTACTTAACCCAGCTCCTCAGCACTACACACCATTCCGGCTCAGGTGCCATGGCTGATCTAGAGGCTGCCATCCCTCTTCTGCCCACCTCTGGCCCTTACATGAAGTGATTGTGCATTTTCATGTCTTTGGTTCCTTGTCATCGACTTCAGGCTGGACAAGTGAAACCAGTGGGATCTTGAGCGACCTCATGAAGGTGAGAAGTTTAGCACAGCTCCTTTCAAAATCTTGTATCAAATCAAAAAGCAACACTGTGGGATTTCTTTTTTTGCTGTTCAAAGGACTGTGTCTTTCTCAATTTCAAGGATAGTTTTTAAGATTTCTAAAAAGAATTATTTATTTTGCTTTGTTTGTATGTATGTGTGTCAACATGTACGTTTGTGCACCATGATACATGCAGTGGCTAAGGAGGCCAGAAGAGGGTGTTTGATCCCCTAAAATTAGAGTTACCAACCATTGTGAGTACTAAGTGGATGCTGAGAAATAAAACCCTAGTCCTCTGCAAAAGCAGCAAGTGCTGTTAACTACTGGACCATCTAATGTTATTTTTCTGAGAACTTCATACAGGAGCATTGCCTCTACAACATTCTCCCCTCCATCCCCTCTCCAACTCCTGTGACCCCTTCCCAAATTCATCATCATCTCTTTTAAATTATCATCAGTAAATACAATTACACTTGTAAGTTCACACACACACACACACACACACACACACACACACACACACACACACACACTTCAGTTTCATTTGTACATATGATGGAAATCAAGGTTATTTTTGTTTATTACTCTGAATTGTAAAGTTTATCATACAATGTTATTGTGGCAATAAGTTTACAACTCCCATTTCCTCGTTCTTCCTTTCAATGCATAATTTCTGTGTCATCGGGAAGAGTCTGTTTAATTTTTAAGAAACAACGTACTATATTGGCTGAGATAATTTATATACTAAAGAACACACAAATATGTGGCAGCTACCTATGGGAAAGGGATCTGCATCAATATGAAATTGCCCACACTTTACCCTCTTTCTTACCTGTCATTCTGAGATCAGCATCCTTGCAGAGCACAGGCATCTTAACCGCGGCAACGTTTTGAAATGAGAAATTTCCCCATAATCTCAGGCATTCCCCCTCTTATCAGCACTTCCCATAAACTCGGGCATCCCCAGTTGATGGCACTGTGGAGAGAAGGTTAGTTGGTGCAGCCTTGCTGGAGGAAGTATGTTACTGAGGGTGGGCTCCCTTCTCCATGCTTACATTTGAGGATGCAAGTTCAAAGCCTCACAGTCCAGCCTTCCTGCCTTTGCTATACCATGCCATCGGTCTCTGCCACTATGGACTCTCACTTTCTGGGTCCGTAAGCCAAAATAACCTTCATCTGTAAATTACCCTGGTGTGGTGTTTTGAATGAAAATGGCTCCCATAGGCCCCTAGGGAGTGTCACTATTAGATGATGTGGCCTTGTTAGAGGAAGAGTGTTACTGGGGGCAGGCTTTGAGATTTCAGATGCTCAAACCAGGCCCAGTCTCTGTCTCTGTCTCTGTGTTTCTCTCTGTCTCTGTCTCTGTGTTTCTCTCTGTCTCTGTCTGTGTCTCTCTGTGTCTCTCTGTGTCTCTGTCTCTGTCTCTGTCTCTGTCTCTGTCTCTGTCTCTCTCTCTCTCTCTCTCTCTCTCTCTCCCTACCTGACAATCCAGATGTAGAACTCACAGCTACCTCTCCAACACCACATCTTCCTGTGTGTCATCATGCTTCCTACCATGATAACAATGGACTAAACCTCTGGACTGTAAGCCAGCCCCTTAGTAAATGTTTTTCTTTATACGAGTTGCCATCATTGTCATGGTATCTCTTCACAGCATATAGACCCAAACTAAGATGCCTGGTCACCGTGTTTTATAACAACAAAAACACATTGGGGAAATGATGTAACCACCTGCTTTAAACTCCAGCTGCCTTGATGGATTGTATTTTGAACTGAACACTAGAATAGACCCTTTCTCCCTTGAATTGCTTTCGTCAGGGTATTTTATCCCAGAAACATGATAAGAAACCAAGACAATATGGTATATTCAGGGTTTCAGAAATACGGACTGCTATACATGGGTGACCATTCTATGCTCTGCAGCCATCCTTTCCACCTTAGGATTTTGTCCGTGATGGCTAACTTTCTCTTAGAGAAGCTAAAAATATAGAATAACCACCTACCTAGCCTTCATTGTATCAGGAAACGTGACTCACTTCTGGCCACGAGGATCCAAAGGGAAGTCTGACTCAGCAGCTGAACACGGGAGGAGACTTCCTCCACCCCTGAACACTGTTCCTCTGCCTTCCGCACAGAATGCGGAAAGCATCTCGCAGCATTACATTGATGACTGGTTCAAGGTGAATGACTCAGAACCCAGCGAGTTCATCACTCTGCAGGCTGTTAGCTGGGCTTTGGAGGGTGGATGACTCCTGGAGTCGAAGGGGGATTTTGGTTTTGCCAGCTGAGAAGAAGAGAAGAGAAGTTCTGGTGGTTCGGATCACACACTTAGCTTCCTTGGGGTCTGCTGTCTTCACTTTCTGCCTGTTTATAAATACCCTTTGCTCAGTGTATAGTTGGACAAGCTTTGGCTCATGTTGCCTTTATCACAATTAAGATATAAAAAGTCCTCATCATCCCCAAATATTTATTACTCCTACTCTGTTGTTCTTTTCAATTTTCACTCTGACCACAGTCAACCACCTAGATTCTAGTAGTTCTCAGCCTTCCTAATGCTGTGACCCTTTAAAACAGTTACCCATATTGTGGTGACCCCCAACCATAAAATTATTTCAGTGCTACTTCATAGCTGTAATTTTGCTACTGTTATGACCTATAGACAAATTTTAAACAGTCTTATTAAATAAGAAACACAGAGCCAAATACAGGGGTAATAGCCGAAGAGATTAGAGAAATAGCGAATAGCCATGACTAGTCTTAGCTTACCACCACGCTGTAGATTCCCCAGAGAGAGCTTCTTCCTGTCTAACCTGTGCTTTTATTGCTTTCCTGTTCTGCCTTCTCTTTGGCTCTAAGCCAAGCCACATCACTTCCTTGTCACTGCCTGTCTATGCAGACTTCCAGGTCTCTATGGTTTGTACTGGGATTAAAGGTGTGTGTCACCATGCTTGGCTGTGTCCTTGATCACTCAGAGACTCTGCCTGCCATGTGATCAGATTAAGGGCATGTGCTACTATTGCCTGACTTCTGTTTTATGACTTGCTATGATCTTTGATCTCCAGGCAAACTTTATTAACATACAAATAAAATATCACATTTCAGCACAAATAAAATAATCACCACAATGACCCATAATGTAAGTATCTGAAATGCAGGATATCTGACATGAGACCCCTGTGAAAGAGTTGTTCAAATACCAATCCCCAAAGGGTAAGGCCTACAAGTTGTGAATCACTAGCCTAGAAGGTGTTTTAAGCTAAATATTAAGTAAAAATATAGTGTATGATAAGAAGCTGATGATAAAAAAATAGAGTAGAAAAAGACATTAGAAATTCAGGTCAAATTTGGACCAACAAAAACAGGACATGTTGCTGTGAGATAGACAACATACCCAGTGAGGTGGCTGGGAGAGACTCAGTCTCTGCAATGGTAAGGAAATTCTTAATTAAACAGAATGCTCCCACTTTATTGATGACATTGTAAAAGTATGAAGTTGATTATAGTATTTCTGAAATGTCAAAAAATGAAATTGTATAGACCTTTGATAAAAAAATAATTTGTTCATGGTTTTACAAATGTAGTTACTGACCAGGGCTGCCTCAGTTTCCCTCACCTGGATGACATTTAGACAAAGTTCATTTTGCCTTGAGGTGCCTGGTCTGACTGTCATTCTTATGATGATAAGAATCCAGGTAACTTAGCCATAAAGAAATTAAATGTTCTGTATTTCAAGATGATTGGATCCAGTATACATAGAAATTCTAAAACCACTGCCAAAATACTGTTAACAACTAATAGACAAATTCAGTAATGTTGCAAGATACAAGATCAGCATCTGAAGTAAGTAGCCTTTCTGTGTACTAGCAAAAATGACTGAAAACCCAACACTATCATCTCATTTACCATAGCCACAAAAATAGTACAGTGAGAAACAAGCTTAACTTGAAGGTAAAGATCTGTACACTGGGAACCACAAAACATGGAAGAAACTGAAAAAAACTTCCCACTAAATGAAAATGTGTATTTTGAAAAATAGATCCAAAACAGGCTATTGATTCAAAAAAATTGCTATCAACATTCTGGTTGATGGTATGTTTTTGATACTAAAGTTTTTGATACTGGTGGTTTTGGTGTTTTTGATACTGGTGTGGGCCAGAGGATCAGGAGTTCAATATCATTTTCAGTATGTAGAATGTTTGAGGACTGTTGGTGAATAATCTTTTTATACACTATGAAGATTTGTCACTCTGGTTTAATAAAAGTTGGTCAGTCAATAGTTAGGCAAGATTTTGGGGGTAGAGAGAACGCTGGGAAGAAAAAGGCAGAGTCACCAGCCAGATGCAGAGGAGGCAGGACATGCAAGAGATGGAGTAACAAGCCATGAGCCATGTAGCAGCATGTAGATAAATAGAAATGGGTTGATTTAAGTTATAAGAGTTAGTGGGACAAGCCTAAGCTATCAGCCAAGCTTTCATAATTAATAATAAGTCTCTGTGTTGTTATTTGGGAGCTGGCTAGTGGGACAGAAAACTCCAACTACAGAGGGCACACTGGGCTTCATAAAAGTTCATCTTTAGAAAAGCATCATAGGAAAGCATACAATTCCAAATCGTAGAGACAACCTTGGACAAAAAGGTCAAATGCATCGAACAAACTGACTTCACAGAATGATCACCCACAGAAGAATGAACTTAAAGTCCTCTCTCTTTTTATACCATGTACAAAAAAATAATCCCTCAATTGAACAAAAGACATCACAGATATGAAGCTGTAAAACCACAAGGAAAGAAGAAACTAGGAGAAAATTTTGTTCCGTATCTTTGGGGTGGTCAAAAGCAAACAGACAAATGGATCTTATCAAACTAACAGCAAGTTAATGTGAAAAGGTTCCTGCAGAGTAAGAGAGAAATAAGAAAGCCACACATCTCCTAGAGATTAACATAGCAAATGTGCAACACACTCTGACAATTCAGTATTAAAAAGAAAAGAATCCTAGTCATTTATAACAGACTCAGCTCTTCTTGCCACTGCCAACCATTTCATCTCTCAAAGGAGTGAACGGCCGAGTTTCTATTCATAGTCACAGTGGTTCTTTACCGCAAATTTTAGCCTGACATCCTGTGGGATCTTCTCTTCTCCATTGTTTCAATGCTTCAAATCCTGTCCTTTATTCTACACATCCTGAACACATGGATATCACATCAAGCTGTGTAGTGAGAATACCAAGGGTCTTTGCCATTTTCAAAGTCTTCTCTTAGCAGTTGCCTGTCCTGTAGCCAGGTTTTCAAGTACTGGGGAAATGTCCTATGTCCATCAAGAATAGAAATATTCAGAGGAATTATTTCTTATTTTTATCTCAATTTTGCACTCTTTATTGCTTGATGGCATAAGTATGTAGTCCTAAGAAATTGATTTTGCCTTTTCTTAGAAGGCTTTAAGTAACCATCATTTTTTCTTCTAATTCTTACCTCAACCATACCATCTTTCCAATATATCCAAAATTAATACTTTTTATTCTACATTTATAACAGTATCCTTAAGATCTTGCTTCTAAGAGGACTCTGCTCTGTAAAAGTTTCAATTTCTTGTAACTCAAGTTGAGACCAAATCTGGCTAGGGAGCCCTGACTGGCTTCCTGCTCAGCATACTCATACTCATATTCAGCCCCACCCCTGAATCTGGGATACAAGCTCTACCTCCACGTGCTGGAGATGGAACCTGAAGCATCGCCCATGCAAACGCTCTATCACTGAGCTGCGTTCCCACTCCAGCCATGTCCTTCTAAGAAATGTCAGGTCAAGTCCTTGGAAGAAAAACTTACTAATGGAATTCTTGCGTAGCAGAGCTGAATTTGTCTAATATGCAGCAAGTAACCTCAGCTATAGCAGTTTCTCACTTGCCAGTTTTCAGCAAAAATGGTGTTTAGAGTAGTTTGTGCCATACCTGCTGACTGACCTCTCCAAGTTCCCATGCGCTCCTCAGGGTCACTTCAATTAATTTCATATGATAAGTAGCCAAATCCAAATTGTATCCCTTAAAGTCAATCTCTTCCAAATATTTATAAGGATCACTTATAAGTTACAGTAATTTTTTTATTAATTCTCTTGGATTTATTGTAGTCAGACTTAACAACTTACTGTGAGTTATATTTAGATAGGAATATTCTAGTTGTCAATATATTAAAAGAGTTAAAGACACAAGCTGTAGACCAGTTAGAAGACTTGAAATTGGGGACAGAAGAGGTGCTTGGAAATTGATAAAATTTGAAAGCTTGAAATGAGAGTATTTGTTATTTGTTAATGTTAATGTGTGTGTGAGAAAAACGTTGTCATGACATCTGTTTATTTAGTCTCAGTAACCCCCCCAAAAAACCTTCCATGTGCTCTTTGAATTCTAGCATATATACATATATATATACACATACATCATAGCTGAGTCACTGATGAGAAGGTAGACAGTACCATGGGAGACCCAGATAAGACTGAATGTGTGGAGGAACATAAAATAGAAATTATGGCCAGGAGAAGGCAAGTCTTAGGATTCCCTGGCGTCCCACAATGGATGTAGAACTTTCCAGGGGAAAGATGTCAGTTGGCATCTGAGAGTACTGTAGCTTACAAAATGAGTGCTTTCTAGACACAGCTTAGTTCATAGGCAACTAGTCTAAACATTGAACTTTTGCCACAATGAGGGTGAATATTTGCGTTTTGTGGTTTCAAAGAGAACACAAGAAATAAACATATGATGGTCATTCCATGCCATCACATTCGATGTTTGGCCCAGGTTTTTATCAAGTTTCTATAAACCTCTTTATCTTCCTCTTAATGCAATCGTTACATTTCTTATGTTATAATTTTATTATACTCTTGATGTTATAAGAAAAAACTATCTGCAGCAATAATAATTTCAAACACCACAAAATATTTGTATCTACCAAGAAATTGGGGGTGGAGTTTTCCTTTAACTCCATGGAAAGAAGTACAATAAGAAATTAATCTAGTAATCTTAAAGTGATTAAATTTCATAAAAATGTAATAATCGTTCCAAGCTATTTAAAATCGGGGCCTAAGTGAAGAGTCAGAAAGATGGCGTCCACTCTCCCCAGCTTGCTCTTAGGAGGCAATGGCACAGCTTCACTCTGAGACTTCTTTGGAGGACAAGTTGTGTCGCCCAGAATTTCTGTTCCAAATGGTTTGTGCTCACAGTGATGACTACTGAAAGCTCCCTTGCTGGAAGTTTGCTAAAAAAAAGTCATTTCTTCTTACACAGAAGGGCAAATTGTCTCTGGAAGCACCAGGGTATCTCAAATCATGAAATGGCCAACCCATCTACAAAAATCAGAGGCCATTGCTTCCTCTTCAGAGCTCAGCATGCCATGGGCCTTAACTAGTTGGCTAGAGTCACGTGGTGATTACATCACTTGCCAAAGTAAAGTTTTTTTTAAAAATCCTGTTAAGATGAACTCACAATTATTGCACTGAGAACTCTAAAACCTCTCAATCTTTAATGTTTATTTAATATTTAATAATGATAATCCTTGAATCAAACATTTAATTTAATTTAATTTTTTTTACTGTTGCCTGTTTTCCATTCTTC